TAACTTTCCAATGCCTGAAGAACGTTGATATAGGCATCCTAGTCAAATAGCATGGTTATAAGACTCACATGGAGTATTAAAAACACATTGATTTACGGGGTTTTACAAATGTCTTAACGATTTGCACATAAAACTACTATTTTAGGCATGAAAAGCACTATTGCATTACATCTTTGGAACAATCAAACGACCATCTACTATAGTAGAAAATATTGGATTTTCTTGGAACATTTAACAGGAACAAACCATTTTCATTCTTTTTTCATAAAAATTGTCACTAAATACTTATGAACTCACCAGCTTAAATGCTGACCTACTCTTTCAAAACCACTTGTATTTCTCAGGGATTTACTAATATAGGTAAACTGCAACTTTTGAAGAAAGGATGCTGCAGCGTTAGTTTAATTTCATTTTAAACATCATATTGTAATTTCTTATGAAACAAGTACCTTTCAACAATGTAAACTTTTAAATTATATATGTGATGATTGTATTGCTTTCTTTACTATGTATTCAATTGTTACGATACTACATGAAGTCATCCACCCTCAAACGATTCCGCCGTTCTGGTTTGGGGGCATGAAATAAACACTAGTATCAAGCATACAAATTTAAATACTATAGGTGTATTTGGTGCATGCAATAGTTTAATTGACATATTTAGTGCTACATGTTTTCAAATTTTGTTCAATTCTTATAACCCTGTTCTCGTATAGTGAAATGGTTGGATTCCTCCCATCAGGGGACCCTACTACCCGAACCAGGGTAATGGAGGATGGGTAGAGGAGGATCCCAAAGAGGATGAAGAACCTATCGAGTTGGAGGAAGGGGATGACTCTGGAACGGACTCAGAACCAAAAGTAGTCGACCCTCCAGCCGCTCAACCTCCCGTTATTAGGAAGAACTTTCAGGGACCAACTCCCGTTTGGGGAAGTCACCTTCACCATTGGAGCCAACAACAAGGGTTACATCCTCCCTACGGTATGTGTCGGGACTTCTACGACATCAAAGATGGAGGTTCAGCCGACCGAGCACTCCCGGTCATGGTGGGCAAACTAGCCAACCAGTCCCTATCAATCCAGGGTCCAAGCAAACTGACTTCGCGAAGTCAACGTGGAAGTACAAGTTCACACTTCCGACATCCGTCGACTGGATAGGTTGTAGGATGACACCTAACTCCGCGCCAGCGCATTCCAAGCACAAATGATTGCAGCCCTCTCTGAGATGAGGGAACAGCAAGCCGCCTTCAATAGGCATCTTATGGAAGCAAAGCAATCAGACACAAAGTCAAGCTCCAAGCGCAACCTACGTCGCAAGTAGTGCTTGCTAAGTCCCAAAATCTTGTTACAGAATAGGAACTCGGCTAAAAGTCTTACTTTTCTTTAACTTTTGTATCAGAGATCCTTAGAAGGGTCAAAATTTTCCTAACTCCAAATGTAACTCAACATGTGTTTAATATATATAAAGAAATTCCGTTGTGTGTAAATTCTTTGACTACCACTCAGAATCATAAGTTTATCTAACACTATGCAAACTTTTATTATGAGTCAAACTCTAAACCATGGGTAGGTCAGTTGAATTTATAAATTGATAAAAATGACAAATTTATTAACACACTAAAAACTTATGTTCTTCATTCTATTTCTTTATCAGCACAATACCGCCTCGTAGATCTACACGCCGTGTCAACAACGCACCACCTCCACCATCACCCCCTCCCACAATAGAAAATGACGCATTAATAGCCGCTGTAATGGCTGCAGTAACAGCGGCAATGGTACAAATAAGCAACAATGGTTCTGGTGGGGGAGTAAATAGTTCTACAAATAACCAACGTTAAGGTCTCCCAGGGGATTGTACATACAAAGATTTCATGAATAGCAAACCCATTACTTTCAATGTGGCCGTAGGAATAATGGCTCTATCCCAGTAGATAGAGAAAACTGAAGCGGTTTTCGAAATTTGTTCTTGTCTGGAAGGGAACAAAGTGAAGTTTGATGCCTGTACTTTCTCTGAAAGAGCTCTAACATGGTAGAATGGCCATGTCAAGTCACTAACGCTAGTAGCGGCTAACTCTATGGGCTGGGAGAAACTAAAACAAATCTTACTACAGGAGTACTGTCCACGGGGTGAATTGCAAAAGCTCGAACAGGAACTTTGGGGCCTTACCATGGTAGGCTCTGATATCACGACCTATACTAACAGGTTCAGTGATTTGGAAATCCTTTGCCCGGGAATAGTTGCTCTAGAGAGCAAGAAGATCGAAAGGTACATCTGGGGAGTGTCACCCTAGATTTGAGGGAGTGTTTTAGCTTCCAATCCAATCACCTTCGATAGTGCGAAACAGTTCGCACAAGCTCTTGTAGACCATGGGGTCTGCCAAAACTTCGCAACTACCGCACCGGTGCAACCCAGAGGAAGCAACAACAACAACGACAATACCAACAACAATAAGAAGAAGAGGTTCTGGAACAAAAAGAAGGGTCAACCTTCACAGGAACCTTCCAAGAAACAACAGATCGTGGTAGTCCATGCCGCTACTGCCCCCACTGCTGCACCAATTACCACTACACCAGCAAAGCCATATGCTGGAAACCTGTCGAAATGCAGCAAATGCAATTTCCATCACACCGTCCGTTTCTATAGAGCACCAGCACAACCGATCACCCAAGTCCGAGGAGCCGGTGTAGGGCAGGCATGTTATGGATACGGTGAGGCTGGACACCACAAAAGAGACTGCCCTAAGGCAAGGAATGCTGGCGACATAGGAAGAGTGCTGGTAATAGGGCAGAACAAAGCAATAGCTGATCCCACGGTGGTTACGGGTACGTTTCTCCTCAATAACGCTTATACATGCATACTCTTTGATTGTGGTGCGGAGAGGAGTTTCGTGAGTCATAAATTCAAGCATATACTAAAACAGAACCCTAAAACACTTAATAAAATATTCACAGTAGAAATGACAAATGGTAGAACAGAAAGCACGAACGATATGTACATAGGCTGCACACTGACTCTAAACGAACATTCATTTCAAATCGATCTAATGTCAATTACTATAAAGAGCTTTGATGTCATCATCGGTATGGATTGGTTAAGCCTACACCATTTTGATATTCTTTGTCACGAAAGGGCCATTCGCCTAAACCTGCCAAGCGGCAAAAATCTTGTCATTTATGGTAACAAACCTGATACCAACTTACAAATCATCTCTAGCGTCAAAGCCCAGAAATACCTACATAAGGAGTACTATGCCTTGTTAGCCCACATGGTAGATAAGGAAAAAGAAACGAAGAGCATCAAAGGCATTCAAGATGTTTGCGATTTTCCCGATATCTTCCCTGAAGATCTCCCAGGAGTCCCACCAGAACGACAAGTCGAGTTCAGAATCGATTTAATTCCAGGAGCTACCCCAATGGCTAAGTCGCCGTATCATCTGGCGCCCGCTGAGATGCAAGAATTATCCAGCCAATTAAACGAACTACTCAACAAAGGGTTCATCAGGCCAAGCTTCTCACCTTGGGGAGCACCGGTCTTGTTCGTCAAGAAGAAGGATGGATCTTTCCGCATGTGCATCTATTACCTGGAACTTAACAAGCTTACTATAAAAAACCGATACCCACTACCACGCATTGACGACTTGTTCGAAAAACTCCAAGGAGCGAGTTATTTCTCAAAGATCGACTTAAGATCTGGATATCACCAACTACGAGTCTTGGAAGGAGATGTTCCCAAAACATCTTTTCGAACTCGTTATGGTCACTACGAGTTTGTAGTGATGCCCTTTGGATTAACAAACGCACCGACGGTGTTCATGGACTTAATGAACCGAGAGTGTCGTCCATTCTTGGACAAATTTGTGATTGTGTTCATAGACGATATACTTATTTATTCAAAGAATAAAGAGGATCATAGTCAACACCTCCGACGAGTCTTGGAGACGCTAAGAAAAAAGAAGCTATACGCGAAATTCTCCAAGTGCAAATTTTGGATTCGGAAGGTAGATTTCCTAGGTCACGTGGTTAGCAAAGACGGAATACACGTGGACCCTTCCAAAATCAAAGCAATCGAGAACTGGTCAGCTCTAAGAACCCCAACGGAAATTCGATAATTCTTGGGCCTTGCTGGCTATTACCGTAGATTTATACAAAACTTCTCGAAGATTGCTAAACCACTCACCACCGTGACACAGAAGGGTGTAACTTTCATTTGGGAAGGAAAACAAGACGCTGCATTTCAAACGCTTTAGCAAGCACTATGCAGCGTACCCATATTGTCCTTGCCAGAAGGAACAGAAGACTTATGAAATGCACATGTGTTTATTCCTTTAGCTACAATACTTTTTCTTTCTTGCCACTTTTAGTCCCTATGTTTATTCCTTTACAATTTTACTTTATGCGAAGCATGGGTTCTCCACTAGTTGATATTAAACCAAATTACCAAGTCCAAAATAAAATACATGTTCGTTTATGCCTTTAAAATTGTATTTTATATGTATTCAATACTAGGAAAGAACAAATATTTGCTACATACAACTATAATCACAATACAATATAAACACTAATATTAAAAGTCCAAAATACATTATTCAAACATTATTTAAACATCATTCCAAACTTTAACTCTTTTAGTCCCTTATTAACAACACAACATATTTACTAATCAAGTAACAACATCAAATAATTACTTATCAAGTAAATTACTATATATTCGTATATTAAACCAAAAGAATCTACAAAGCATTAATTGTCATAATATGAAAGTACATATCAAAAAACGACTCATAAATTATACCAAAGTCCCTAGAAAACCTAACAAAACAAGCATCCCATAAACAAATTTCACACATAAACACCAATTTGTATCCATTCACAAAGCGTCTAACACACTGACTATAGACTTATGCAATGCACAAGATCTATGGAAGCCATGGAAGTGTACATGTTTCCTCCCTCCCTATTTAAGTGGAGATGAACCTTAGAACAAGTTGCTCTGAGATTTCACGTACCTTTTGCTCTGCGGTAAGCATTGTTCAACATGTCCAACACTTCCTGCTTCCTATGTCTCCCTTCAGCCATCAACATCATTCCCAGGACAAATGTTGAATCCAAATGTCCCAATGCAGATGCTTCTTCAAGTATTGTTTTCCCTTCATGTTCAACTTCTAAGAAAAATAACTTCATCTGGAAAAAACAGTAAACACATAATTTCTAGTTAAAGTTTTGCAAAACAAGTAACAAATTAATTACTACTATGCATATATATAACAATGTAATAATCCATTCCTGAATAGAATATTTTAGTTTCTCATCTCTATGCATTTATTGACAACTGCATGTTTTTGGTCAGACCAAACACGAAATCGTAATCCATCTAACTCCATATGTTTATATACTTCATCTGTTTTTCCTGCCTCGTTGAAGAATCTACAACTGCAAACGAAACACAATATTCGCTCCATAATGTAAAGACAACTCAAATACACTTGTGAAATAGAATGATCAAAGGCATAACTTACACACTCTTCATCCTGAAATCCTCAATTGCTGAATTTTTGCCAAGTCGACTATTTTTTTCTCCATCACTTCAAATGTCATGTCTGTTAGCGATTTCGTTTGATTTCTTGATTGATTCTTAGAAGAAGTACTGGCTTCCATAATAATAAACATTCACTAAGGTAATGATTCTACGAAAATGATTTTAGGGTTTTTTGACTGTCAGAATTTTGAAATTGGGGTTGTTTGCAAGTAACTGAAATAAGAGTGAAGAACGGAAACAACGTGTTTCTTCGGAAAACATTATGGCGCTTAGAAGATGTTCCATTATAAAATGACCAAATTGTCCTAATACATACAATGACTCGTATTTAATTAGTAAGGGTATTTTTCTAAAAATTCATATTTAAAAAAAAAATTCAATTTCTATTTTAATCAAGGTTGTAAAAATCGGTCGTCCGTTGCTCGGCGGTCGACTTACGATAAGTGATTAATCAGACTTAGCGGGGATTAATAGGGGATCCTAAATTATTAATAAAATTATTTAAAAAAATTAATATTTCCTACAAAATTAAGTATTGGAAAATTTTTAAATTTTAATACACAACCGGTACAAATGATACATGTTGACCAATGACCCATATGTCATCCAAATATCAACCATGGACACCATAAGCAACTACCATGTTGACCAATGACCTTTATTTCATCCATGGTACACCATAAGCAACTACCATGTTGACCAATGGCCCATATCTCATCATGGAGACCATACGCAACTACCATGTTGACCAATGACCTGTATTTCATCCATGGTACACCATAAAGCAACTACCATGTTGACTAATGACCCGTACTTCATCCATGGGTGATACCATCACACCATAAGCAACTACCATGTTGACTAATGACCTGTATTTCATCCATGGGTGATACGATCACACCATAAGCAACTTCCATGTTGACCAATAACCCATATGTCCTCCATGGACACCATAATCAACTACCATGTTGACCAATGACTCGTATTCATCCATTGGTATTTCATCCATGGGTGATACCATTACACCATAAGCAACTACCATGTTGACCAATGACCCGTATTTCATCCATGGGTGATACCATCACACCAGAAGCAACTACCATGTTTACCAATGACCCATATGTCCTCCATGGACACCATAATCGACTACCATGTTGACCAATGATTCGTATTTCATCCATGGGTGATACCATCACACCATAAGCAATTACCATGTTGACCAATGACCCGTATTTCATCCATGGGTGATACCATCACACCATAAGCAACTACCATGATGACCAATGACCCATATGTCCTCCATGGACACCATAATTGACTATCATGTTGACCAATGACCGATATTTCATCCATGGACACCATAAGCAACTACCATATTGACCAATGGCCCATATGTCATCCATGGACACCATAATCAACTATCATGTTGACCAATGACTCGTATTTCATCCATGGGTGATACCATCAGTCCATAAGAAACTACCATGTTGACTAATGACCTGTATTTAATCCATGGTACACCATAATCAACTACCATGTTGACCAATGACTCGTATTTCATCCATGGGTGATACCATCACACCATAAGCAACTACCATGTTGACCAATGACCTATATGTCCTCCATGGACACCATAATCGACTACCATGTTGACCAATGACCCGTATTTCATCCATGATTGATACCATCACACCATAAGCAACTACCATGTTGACTAATGACCCGTATTTCATCCATGGGTGATACCATCACACCATAAGCAACCATAATGTTGACCAATGACCCATATGTCCTCCATGGACACCATAATTGACTACCATGTTGACCAATGGCCCATATTTCATCCATGGACACCATAAGCCATTACCATGTGGACTAATGACCCATATGTCATCCATGGACACCATAAGCCACTATCATATATATTGACATGACCCGTACGTCTTTTGTATATAAATTTCGGTTTAAACAGGAAAAGCATAAAGATGTATAGTTTATTAATATTTAGTCCTTGTATATAATTTTAAGTTAAAATTATACTATAAACACATCGTTACTCTATGTTCTTTCTTGACTTTATTTATATGTATATACCCTATTTATCAATTTGTAACTACTTTAAATAAATTTGAATTACTAAATATTTAGCGGTAATTAGCACAGTTCGAATTTTTTATTAGCGGAGGTTCAAAGTATTTCACAATTTGTTTCCCTCCAACTTACACACGTTTATGCTGCATATTAGGGTAATTAAGTTTACCGATTAGAAATAGGGTTTACATTTTCTGTAATCATTATCTCCGGCGACTTATTGATCGAAATCTTTGTTCATTATACGTTTGTGCACTAACTTTGGCAATATATAGGTTGTCACTCGTCTAAAATTTATATTTATTTAATTTACTGTTATCATGATGATCGATCGTTTTTTGTTCTCTGATCATCTTCATGTAAATTGGTTTTAATCGTATTCAATAGTTTGCATGCAAAGTAATGCCTTCATATATAATTTATTTTTATTGTTTGTGTCAGAAAGATCTCGATCTTGAAACCAAAAGGAGCATCCGGTGTGAAGCCAACTAAATTCATTGCACCACAAGTTATGAAACGTAACAAGGTTTCTGTTGCAAAATTCCTAAACAGACAGTTATAAGATGAAGAAATCGACTTGTCAATACCAACAACCACATCCAAAGCACCTATAACATCTACCAACAAAACCCCTAAACCAATATCATTAACATCACCCATGACTACCACTTCCTCGACATCACTTAAATCATCCACACCCTCCTTAGAAAAAACATTTAAAACTTCAGAAACTGGAACAATACAATCGTCAACACGAACATCAATAACAAAAACTTCAGAACCTACATTATCTAAACCATCCTCAACACCAACACCCACTACCACATCATCAATACCTATATCTACTACCACAACCTCAAAACCTACATCTACACTACCATCCTCCACAACTATAATAACTACCACACCCTCTTTAAGTAAAGGAACTACCACATCCTTAACATATACATCTATCCCAACACCTACCCCATAATATACCCCATCAACAACACCTATCCCAGAATCTACCCCATCACCAACACAACCACCCATGAATGGATCTGTAGTGGAAAGTGTAGAAGGTAAAAACAATTCCTCTAAAGATTGTGGACTAGATGGACACTTTATTGTTCATGTTCGGAAAAATACGTGAGTTACCAATTCAAATCTTAATTACAACTTTTTTATGTATTAAATTTTGGTTTACACCTACATATCAATTCATAAGTTAACACATCACATGATTACTTACAAGCAAATAACACTAGGCCCTTTTGCACATGTTATTAGTCAGTCCTTTAAACAAAGAGTAGATCTAGGAGGGTACGCTTGGGCACAAGTAAGCAAAGAAATGAGCGAATTATATTGAGAGGAGTTTTAGGTAACTATAAGTCATAAATTGTTGTTTGGTAAACATTTACACTTCAACTTATGTTTATATTGTTAATGTGTATAACAAATGTTGTTGGTATGAGATAATAGACTTGCTGGTGAGGCAAGCTTGGGCAAGGAAAGCGGCACAAAGTTATGGTCAATATTTCTTCAACATGAGGATCCAAAAAGAAACAAACATGGCTTTAAACCAGATCATATTCCATAGGAAGTCTGGAACTCCTAGCAATTAAGATGGAATACAGAAGAATACAAGCTAAAATCTGAGCAGGACAAGAAGAATAGGCGTAACAGTGTGGATGATGGAGTAGCAAAACCCACACATAATACTGGATCCGCATGTCATTTGAAGATAGCTTCTGATTTGGTAATTTTTTAAATGGTACATCGTATCAATGTTTGCATATGTTTATCTGTATATTTGACTTTTTATATGGTATTTATGCAAAAGAGGAAATTAGGATATGAGCCACCCCATAGTGAATTGTTCCTGTATACACACACTAAGAATCATGATGGAGTCACTTTCACAAATGAAAAAGATAGAAAAATTCATGTAATATTCATTTCAGTTTAAATTAACTTTGATATTGTAGCTACTCCATAATATCATTCCTAAATTTGATATCTTTTAACTTATAATATTTTTATTTTGTAGGCGGACTATACAGAAAAGCGGGAAGAGTTGGAAGCTGAAGGTCTTGAATTTGAGGAGGACAAGCTATTTTATGCTGTTGTTGGTGGTCATGATAAAAAAAGAAGACTTTATGGATTAGGATCTTTTGCAAAGGCGGTTCCCAATTGGAATGGGAAAACGGATGTATCTTACATTCTGGAAAAATGATGAAATAGAAGAAATGAGGGAGCTTGTTGCTAAAGAAAAACAGCAAAATGAAGAGCTTAAAGAAATGATGAACGCCCAACAAGAGGAAAACAAAGCAAGGGTCGGACATCTTGAAAAACAACTTCAAACGGCATTGGATCTTATTAATGTTGTTAGAAAACAACAAGAGCAGTAGGTTGATATATGTTTATTGAAGATTATGTATTTTAGACTAGCAACTTTCTTTTTTCCATGTAATAAATAATTATTTTGTTATTTTATGATATAATGGTTATGAGTTTTTTTTTTTCATGTATTATTACAAAATTATTTGGATATAATTTATAAATCAATTATCAGTCGGTCCATACTGAATCTGGTATATAATTTATAAATCAATTATCAGTCGGTCCACAGAATTTGCTAGGAGATCATCAAACAGATTTAGCTAGGGATTCATCACCACGGATTTAGCTAGGGATTCATCACCACAGATTTAGCTAGGGATTCATCACCATGGATTTTTCTAGGGATTCATCACCACGGATTTTGCTAGGGATTAACTACAACCGAATTTGTGACGGAAAAACTACCACAAAATTTGTGATGGAAACCTACTACGGAATACACGACGGAATACCATCTACCACATATTTCATTATGTTGTCACAATTGCGAAAAAATTATCGTTTCCGTTGCAAACTCCTTGCTATGATGTTTTTAGGGACGAAAATAAGTCGTTGCAAATTCCATCACTATTCGTCTTTTGCAACGGAATTTCAGCTTTTCGCAATGGATTCCTTCTGTAGCAAAATCGTGTTTTTCTAGTAGTGTTACAAGTTTAATTATAATTCTGAAGGATTGGAAAAGTTTTGATGTATGACAGAACGAATGAGAAGAATCAAATTTGGCAGAAAGATAAAAGTTTCTCAAATATGAAAAGATGGGAGAGTACTTTAGTATCATGTTTTATGATCATCTTAATGATTGTGAGACCATATCATAATTCATCCTCTAAGGACATCTTAGTGCATTTTTATGGCTAAGAAGAGGAGTCATGAATTGTTGAAGTGGTTAAATCAAGAAGATGAGTCATACTTCGTTCCAAAACAAGTCTTAGAGTCATACTCCAAGATTGTAACTTGAGTGACATATCTTAAAGAAGGTTTATAACAGTTGTCAAATGCAAGAGTAAAATGTGTTCTAGTCTTGTACATTTGAAATTGGTAACCTATGATGTTTTGGATAAAACAAAGACCAACTAAGGCCAATTATGTGAAGTGTTTGTCTTGATATCTCTTGAATATTTGTTTGTTAAGGAATGGGTCTTGGCAAGAGAGTCTTATATGTCAAGAGGACAATGGGAGTCTAAAAGATCCTGAAAGAGTTTCAAGATCTAATCAAGAATAAAGCATGTAGTTTATCACTAGCACACGACTTGAGGTTTATAACCTATCGTGTTGACATATTACTATTTCTGTGCCCATTCTAGTAAAATTTGGCTTTGCATATGAGTTTTGAGAGTTCTCAATTGGTTGCATAACAACATGGAAGCAATGGTAGGCCCTTGTGCTGCCAAGTGGAAAGAAGTTAAGACTGCACAAGTTCAATCCATATGAGTTCGGATTTATCACTAACCTTGTCTTGTGATTATGGTTTTGACAAATTCACATGTATAGAAACACATACACCATAAAATCTAAGTGTCATAAGGTTTCTCTCTGATTCATGAAAATGATGGTGATGAAACGCTTTCACTAAGAAGATTTTCAGTAGATAGCAATTGTGACATTTGCATGCTCAAAGTCGTTAGTGAAGCATGTGTGGTTAAGAGGCACACTAACATGGACTTGTGAGGAATGGAAAATGTCTAAACAATTGAGACTATGATTACAACATCCATTTTCATAGTTCTGAAATTCTTTAGACACACATGTGTGCTATCTAAGGAAA